TGAGGTGACTTTTTGGGTACGTGCTTTGGTGATGATGGGTTGGGTCATCGGGAGAAACCGATCGATTCAACACAAGTCCGGGCGCCGAGTCGACTGTTGGGAACCAACACGCCACATGCCGCGGACACGGGCGCCTGACAAGCATGCGAAAATCTTCCCAGGGCACGTTACCACGGGCACTGGCTGGACCTCAAATTCTACACAAAGCCTAGCCCCTTCCTGGGAAAATTCCTGAGCATTGGCCGGGATTAAAAGTAAGTTTGTCAATTTTTAGAGCAGATCAGGGATCCTACATGCAGCGGACATGAAAAAAGGAACCCCTACCTGGGGGTGGTCTCTGCCTGGAAGCAAGGCTAGCGCTAAGGTTCTATCCCTTGGGGGTCGGCGGCTGCAGGCGGTAGCCTGGTAAATACCTAGCACTCTAGAGCTACTGATTACTTAGCAGAGATGAATTAAGTGCGATAGCTAGGGAGCGGGACTTTAGTCTTAGACCGCCCGGGTAGGAAAGACTAGAACAGGAACAACACAGGGAAAGGCACCGACACACAAGTGTGTCGAGTACCATTTCCCTATGTTGCCCTAATTAGCTTGGGGGGGGGTTTGGGAAACCTGCCTGACTGCATGACTGCAAGGGGAGTACCGTTTTATAGCCCGGCGGCTGTGGTGGTTCACCGTTTTTTGGCCCGGCGGCTGTTGTGGCAGTTAATTAGTTGGAAGTGGAGGTGAATTCCAGTGAAGTTCCGGTGAGCGGTAGTGAGTTCCGGTAAAGGTTTCCCAATGAAACAGCGCCCCAGTGACGGGGATCACACTCAGCACCCGAGTGGGACGGCTGAGCGAAACACACTCTGACATTGGTTTTCAGTTACACTCAGTTCCCAAGCTGAGAAGGAAGGTGAGAGAACGGAAAGGTGGCAGAGTCCGCGGAAAAGTATTGTTTAACATTGTTCACCAGTGCACTTTACTTAACTACGATTACTGCAATTTAGACCTTGACTGAAAAAGAAGTGCTGAGTCCGTCGAACAGTATTGTTGAAAAACGTCGAGTTAAACAATTGAAAGGCAGGTACGTCAGTGCTGGCCGGGCACTGATATCACATCCACTTGGTGCGGTCTTTGTTAGATGAGGCACACCAAGGGATCCTCATCCCCCTGCTTTAAATTAAATTGAACCCTTGGAAACAGGGTTTGGCACTCCTAGAGCCAAGCTTGCTCACGCCGACTTATGATTACCCCAGTGCAGTAGGGCCTCTACTAGCCTACAGTAGCTCACTATGTCCAGTTCCATGTATGGCCTGTTTGGCCATCTGTCACACACACACACGCACAGGTCGCGCTACTGGTTTGTACATCCTCGTTCATCTTCATCTTCGCTAAGTCAACATAATTCACAAACATACCTCTGGGATTCTAGGCGCCTTGTTTGCTGGCTTTCACAAGGATCTCTAATTCTAATATGAGGTTATATGATGAGTCGCTGCAGTCCCTGTACCGCTTCCTTCTGGACTAAGGAGTTGTGACTTTGAAAGCCCAGCGCGATCTGAGCGAGGACCTCTTCGCACGCCTTGGCCAGTAAAATTCACACCCGCTGGACCGAACTCTTGGCATCGCCGAACACGGGTCGGCCATCAAAAGCATGGAAATGTCAGCCAGTCTTGTGACTTGTGTGTGGTCGTGGAACGGTGAATGAGCCAAAATTGACCTTGTGAACGCGGGCGCTTTTGGGCAAAGCAAAACACATTTAAAAAACACACACACACACACCTATATATATAAATATGTATGTATGTAATTGTATGTACAGTAAATACAACACATACACATGTTCTGCTTGAAATCATTAATCCCGAGTACCTATTAATAAACGGACCCCAATTAAAAAAAAGTC